CCCCAAAACCCCAAAACCCCAAAACCCCAAAACCCCTCATCAAATTCTCAAAATTGAAAATTTCGCTTAATAGTATACCCCATTACTCTTCTTAACCAAGTCACCCAACCCCTAGGCCATAATACTATCCCCCAAGTCCCCAATCTGACTCCCAAAACACCTCGTCACTAACCCTCCCTACCACTTTTACCCCTATAAACCCCTATCAAAGCCCAAAATCCTCCAATTCTCCCTCTAAAATTCCCTCTGGCTCCAATTTCTACTCACTCATTCTTAATTCGTCTCCTTTGAGTCCCTTAAAATGGCTAAAGCTTCGAATGGCCGATTGCTAGTCTTTGGTTCAGTTTTAGTAATAGATAATAGGATTTGTTATTCAAATTTTTTTGATTTGTTTTTACTACCTAAATCGCTTATCCCAAAAATAGTCTTAAACTTATCTCCTCAAAGCCCAAAATACCTCATTTCAAACCTCTAATCTCCACATAAGCCCAGATACTCTCAGAATCGCTTTAAACTCATTTCAAACTCAAAAATAATCCAGTTTACTTTATTCTTCTTCAAAATTCATAAACTTATTATAAATTGACATTATTATCTCTTAAAAATTATTTTCGATTTCTTTATTTTCAGTTTTATTTCTTCTTACTTTTTATTCGAACTAGTCCGATATCTATCTTTTTCTTGGTAGCACTCGGAGTAACTGATGCTGGTGGCTGAGACTCCAAGAAATCGGCTAGAATTAGAGTATAACAATACCATTTAGCAATTTTTCAGGCTCAGGTTCTTTCTCTTCAAAGGAAATTTCAGAAAGCATAAATGAGTTAATGTCTATAAGAATTGTACGGTGAATTTACCTTCTAACAGTTCTTCCTCCTTCCCATTTTCAATTTCAACCCTAGCATTATCTAGCAGAGAAATTTGGTCCTCTGATGAGCTCTGATTGAAGAGATATTGCTCAATATCTTTACCTGAGAGATCTCTGAGGTCTGAGTCTTCTAGTCGAATAGGACCTATTCGTTCCTCTAAATATAATTTATCACGACATTTACCTTTCGTATCATCAGTAAGGACTTTTGTCATATTGTTCGATTTACTGAAACTGCTCTTATTCGGTGCTAACAGCTCATCCTTATTGATTACTGGGGATCCTACATAAGGTAAAAGACCAAAAGTACCAAATATGAACTTCGATGACCCATCAGTGGAAGACTGGTTCGGGTTCAGTTGTGAGTCTCCTTGATTCTAAAAATATTTACCATTTAAAACACTGCAAAACATACCCATGAGAATGGAACTTTGTCTTCAAATCTTGAGAAAATCTTGCTGCCTGTCTCACTACTCTTCTGAGACAGATTTGAGAGGCGATTTTTATACAGAGGCTGCTTATTTTCTGATGACTATCCTCTTCTTCTTAGACTTTTTCGTACTTGCAGCTATATTTTACGAAGGAAATACTACCATTATTTGAATTTAAGATGTCAAGAGTTGCTCTTTCCTGGCTATATCCTTTCCGTTGAGTCCCATGCTCAGCATTTTTGAGATCATGAAGTGTCTCATCATTTATTTGAGGCTTCAGTGTTGAAGAAAACCCAGCATTTTGCAAGAAATGCTCTCTTTTGAGATTGAAAAATTTAGCTGAGTGAGAATCAGCAGATGGGTATTTTGGGCAATTTAGGATCAATCTACAAAAATTAGTACTGTTTGAGGGAAATTCCACTAATAATGCGGAATTTTTTCAAAATAAAGCTTGACACCCACCTTTGCCTCCTGTTTGGAGAGTTTGGATGTAAAGGGATAGGAGCTTTATCTCGGGTCATCCTAAAGGTTACACATGATCCTACCCTTCCTTCGCACTAATTTGTCTCTTAGGATCTGCTTTTAGAAAGTTCTCATACTCTTTACTCTGATCTTGAATGACAAGTTTAGGCTTGTTTGCCATCGGAGGAAGCTTATTGATCAAATTATTTTCTTTTCTTATTCAGTGACAAAATTTCTATACTACTTCAGACTGGCTTAGAAGAAGATCTGAAATACCTAGGGAATCCTTTTTCCTGATCTGACTTCCTTGGCTGATGCTTCTTGGAAATTTATCCATCTCTTTTGCAATTTTAGCTTTGCGGATAATTTCTGAGGTCCTTTTCCTCCCGAAATCCCTAAATTTTATTTTTTAGAAGAATTTTGCTTAAAAGTCCAAAGATTTTGAAAAGTTAATTCAGAACAGGAAATTCAGATTACTTATTTGAACTCTCAGATTGTAGAAATTTCAAATAATTCTCAGAAATTACAAAGTAAGTACTAGGCAGTCCTAAAATTGCTGGAATATGGACAGAATGCTATTCAGACTCAACAGCAAGTTTTGATCTAATCTGAAACATCAACTGTAAACTGGGTGTAATAAAAATGCTCATTCTTGATAAACCCATTTTATATATTTTATACAAATTCATGATGAGGAAAGAAAATATTTAGCTAGTGATTCTAAGCATCAGCATTTTGAGATCCTGCTTCGCAAAATTATGCTAATTTATAGCTAAAATAATTGCATTTGGTGGTATACCAAATCAAAATTCTAACATTCTCTATTTTGAACAAACCTAACTAGAGGAAGTCAGTGATACTACATCATTAGTGCTAAGGACCTTACATTCTCTGAGTTAAAATACTTTTATTCATCCTAAAGATTCTAATATTCAGGAAAATTCTGATATTTATAGATCCCAATCACTAGCATACATCATCCAAAATTCTCTGCCTCTTATTAAAGCAGTTCACTGGAGGTCCACAATAGTTCAAAACTAAATCTAAAACCCCAGCTTGTTCTGCAGCCTGTACTACAGTGTTCAGGCCCTAACTTCTAGGCTTTAAGCGACAACTGGAGACGGCGCTGTAGGAAGTATCTAGGCTTGAAGGAGTGACTGGGAGAGTGGGGATGGAAAAATGAGACTTTGGGGTTTGGGCACTGATTAATAATAGCAAGAGAGTATTCAAAAATTGTATTTAAAATTTATACAGAATTTAAGAGAAATTTATTTAGAGTTTTTCTGCTGTGTTAAAATTATTCCAATTTTTGTATGCATTTTGGGATGCCAGAGATGTGTTGTTTAGTAGAAAGAAACAAGGAGGTAGGAGTATAGCAAAATTTTGAAAATTTTGCGAACTATTTGATATGCATACTCTGATTCAAACTTGCACCAGTAAATATACCCCCTCTCCATTCTCTCCACCTCCTTCCCCTCCCTTCCCCTTCCCTTCCCTTCCCTTCCCATCCCTTCCCTCCTCTCCTCTCCCATCCTCTTCCTTCCACTTACATTATCGACCTATTTTATATAATAATCTAGTTCTTTTGGGGTTTTGGGGTTTTGGGGTTTTGGGG